TATGGGTATGAATACCGTAGGGTATCGCACACCCAATGTGACTACACCCTGCATTCCTAGCAGGACAACCCCTATCAAAAGTAAAGATGATGTTTAAATGACATGAATAAGACACAGAAGCTTGTGCCTTCAGCAGAATTATTCACAAATTGAGTTCATAAAGACAGAAAGCCTCATTGCATCAAGCAACTCAAGTCAACACACACTGCCAGATCACCACCACCAATCCATACAACCAGAAAGCTAAAACATAACCCTTATATATCTATATTCATTACTTTCGAGTTTTATGAATGTATTTACATTAACTATTTTAATTTGCACTGTAAAATAGTTCTTGGCTTGTAGCACTTTAAACACATTAAAATCATTTCATATTTCCTTTTGACAAACTTGTGGTCTCGTATATATATATCCACGATTTCAGTTATGCAGGGTTGACAGATAAATGGGTTGGTCTTTCATGATAACGACAGGCTCGGAAGTCATATACACATAAAGCTTACAGGAACCATGTATCATTCAAGAGAATGACTGGTTTCCCATGTGGGTGCTGCTTCGTCATTCCTTTACAGAATTATGCTTTCTGTTTGCACATGGTTGTAGAAGTTGAAGAGAGGATTGTACCATGGGAGCAGAGCATAAAACACTTTATATATTTTCTATCTCTCAGTGTTCAACCCATGCTTTTTAATCACGCTATCGATGCTGGTTTTGTGAAGTAGACTATGTCATCTATGACAAAGTGAGAAAATGTGTCTGCATCAGTAATAATGTGAAGTCAACGATGATTTTGGCACAGCGAAAGATTATTCTTTCAATGATATATTCTACCAAGTGAATGACTCAGTGATTTTGTGAACAGTGTTCGTCTAAATCCCGAAGCGGAAATATATTTTTTATAGTGCAATGAGAAATTTGTAGATTTTAAAATGAATCAAGCTGCAAACGAAATGGAACCAGTTTGTTGGGAAATGAAAATCATAAGACACAAGGACATTAAGGAAGTTCGCTTTGTTCGTAATCATCTCTCAAATTTGTTTTCGAAACGTGAACTTAGTTCTTTGAATGGCATTTAGAAGTGATGGAAATAAAGAATGGAGCTTTTTGTGGATGTTAACTTCTTTATTATGAGGAACACAACGTTTCGGGGTATGTCCTTACTCCTTCATCAGGTGAATGGATGATATGAGTCAGAGAGCATATGTATGTACACGTAAGAACAACAAAAGTAATAGAACAACAAAGATGCAGGCTTCACAATGGAAGACAGCAGTTAACTGGCGTTGATGTGTGATTGGCAAAGCCAGCATTTAACAGTTAATTAGCGTTTCCTGTCATTCACCTGATGAAGGAGTAAGAACATACTCTGAAACGTTGTGTTCCTCATAAAAAAGAAGTTGACATGCATAGAGAGAATTCTCTTCCTTATGAACTTCCTTATGTACGCCATTCAGACCATGTGATCAACATAACATTGCCAAAGTGCCATGTGTGTAAGATATATATACCTCCATTACATAGCTGATAGCATTTCAGAGCATATCATTACCTTCGTATTAGCAAAACAAAACAGTGTTTCTTGAGAACATTCGTTGGTATCAGCACCAAAAAGAACGACACATAATATGGACACTATACAAATTGAAAAAAATAGCCTGACACACTTATAATTCCATTAACACCAGCTCTTCATGAAAACACGGTGCACCTGGTAATGATATTGCCTTTTCCTTTGTTCAAACTTCTACAATCCGTTTACGGCTACAACACTTCATGGAATATTCTTCAGAACATTTATCCAAAGTAAGATATATTCGTGTACTGGATACCAAATTGCATGTATTTATTCACTCCCCTTCGAGAATAGAGAAACGCTTGTATGTCTGACCAATAATAACCACGTTGAAATACAAATATAAATCCCATGGTGTCTTGGACAGACTAGGTACTTGGTTTTGCACTTGTAGAAATCGCCGACTGACGTGTTTCGCGATATCTGACAGTTTCACAGATCATGACAACGTGGGGTTGTTGTTCATAACGTCAACCACTGGTTCGCGTGTCTCAGACTCGTTTATTGACTAACTCACCACTGCGACCTTAAAGAAATACTCAATTGTTTTTGTTTCATGTACGATGTTTCATGGTCTTTATTGTCAGCAGAACATCTGAACTTGTACATAACAGACTTAATTCAAACTTTACATATCGCATTTCGGTTTCATTAAAATTTCGTCCCTGAATCTTGTGGTCCATCACTTGATTGTCTGGTTGCTTCCCGGCCCCTATCGTACGCAAGTAGTACGTCTGTGCGGCGTCAAGAAAGCAAATCCTTACTTTCATATGTAAATTGTATGAGTGGCGGGACATGTTCATATGCTTCGCAAAGACCCACAATCGAGACTAGTTATTCTCTGACGCTGTTGTTGTATATGTAAATGTCCACACACACATAACTATTTAAGCTGAACAAAGGGCCACCGAAAACCGCCTTAGCAAATAATCGTCACGACATACTGTAAGCTATCGAATCATCTGGCAATATCTTTTAAGACATCTCTTTGAGTATTAACATCTTTGGTATACGTGTCATAAATAGTTTCGACGGCAATTTGCACTGTGTGAGGTTACATCTGGATGATGGACAGACACGAACCGTCAACTTCAAGGTTATCTATCCTGGGAACTAGGTTGTCTAGAAGCGTGAGAGGGGACGCGCTGACCACAGACCGACGAAGGTTTGTCTGGGGAAGAGAAATGCCCTTGTGAGATATGCGAGAGGACGGAAGCAAGGGGACAACCCCTCTATTAAGGCGCCCCGGGATCGATACCTGCCTTACATGTCATTAGCGGTTCAACAACTGGCCCAGCGATGACGCACTGTCGGGAATGGATTGAAGTTACTGATCAAGGATGATACACTTTAGGACAGTAGGAAGTTCAGCTCAAAGTTCAAGTTTCAGGATACGCTCGAGCATTCTTGTTTTTAAGGAAATATCGTCTGTTTATACTTTTTTGGACAACCATGTGGTGGCTGCTTTTTCAAGATATGTTTGTGAGTGGGGGTTTATAGTTATTCATGTGATTAGCGAGAAAACAAGGAATGTTTCTTAAGCATCCAAAAACCAATAAGATTATGATATATATAATTCACAAGTTAAAGAGCAACGGATTCCTTCTTATTACCATATATAAATGGGTTGACGACAGCACGTTTGTTTGCTGAATGCCGTGCTTATAAATATTCATCAGTATATTCTAATTCAATTGTTTCTTTGGAACCTTTCCAAGCGGCGGTTTTCTTTTTGCTTTGGGGTTTTACGGACAAACAAGAAAAGCATGTCATGTTGTTTGGCATCTTTGGTCAGCCTGGTATTGACATAGATGGCATGTGATCATAATACACCGTCTGTATGACTACATGTCAAAGAATCGTCATCAGTTATTGTAACCATCGAGGCGCTTCTGAAGCTAAGATGGAGTGGGCGTCGTTACTGCTAATGTGCGTCTTTTAATTCCAGCCATGTCCCTTTGTGCACATGGAACATCAAGTTTATTCTGGTTGGGAAACAAATTCGTGTCTTCGGCGTGACGAGCACAGAAAGTAGCAATGCCACCCCTTTAACAGTTTGCACAAAGTTTAAGTGCGTCCAATACAGCACATATACATAGCAATAGCCCACTGACTTGTCGATAATATTTCCCCACACCGCATTTCCAAATCAGAGACGTCTGTCAATTCACTCATTCGAATTCGAATAGGAACAAAAGACTACATATTTGCAAGTCCAAGTTTGGATTATCTTTATCGGTCGAAATATATATACAAGGATAACCATATTTGATTGTGTGAGTTATAGTTGTTGATTTTTTTAAGAAAGGTATTCATAACTAACAAATGACTCATATATATGAGTAACTGTTGTGTCCAAAATTGTGGCGATTATTACCAATGGTGCCTAACCTGCAGTTTGTCTTGTCCAGAAGTGATTATACAACTGGTTTTAACAGCAACATAGTTGGTACAAGTCACACGGTACATATTCTATAAAGCCGCTACAATATGGGTAACCAGCTGGAGTCAAAACAAAAAAAACAATCCAAGGGAAGTAACTCTAATTATTCTGGTGCATCTGCTGGACCAATGGCCCATGGTAGAGTTTGCGCGGTATGTCTTCCGGTCACATGACCCCTCTGATAAACTCCATTTAGGCACCAGGGTGCAAACAAAGTAACCAAAATAGCGTCTTCGTCAAATTTACGTGGAACTCCATTAACAAACTAATTTTGTAACAATGAGTCTGCCATGAATGTCGCCAACAGTACGTACTACATTGGCGGATCCAGAGGGCGGGTTCAGGGGGTTCGCTCCCCCGTTGAAAATGACAGAAGACCACAGTAAAGATTGTTTTTGCGTTGGCGGAGCCAATGGGGGGTTTAGGGCTTCGAACACCCCCCCCCCTCACACACACACACACACACACACACACACACACACACACACACACACACACACACACACACACTTTCAAAATCCCTGGATCCGCCCATGTAATACTTAGGACTCCAGTTTCTCCGTTTCAGTAGACTTTAAATAGACATACTTTTTATAGACTGACTGACTGAGTTTGGTTTTACGCCGCTTTTAGCAATATTCCAGCAACATCACGGCGGGGGACACCAGAAATGGGCTTCACACATTGTACCCATGTGGGGATTCGAACCCGGGTCTTCGGCGTGACGAGCCAACGCTTTAACCATTAGGCTACCCCACCGCCCCACTTTTATAGAGCATGTTTCAAAAGTAATATAGCAAACACGTACTATCAGATTTAGCTATATATGGGTGCTATGTGTGGATCTCATACTTTCCAATAGTTTTCAATAGTTTAACCCAAATAAAACAGATGCCATGCAATGACACATGCACTGTCAACTGACAAATATTTTCAAATGTCATATCCGTCACAGTTCTCGAACACATAAAATACAAGCTGTTCAGTTCTTAACTTTATTCGGTACAACACAAGTAACCACCTGCTGCAGTCGGGCATTGTACTATCACATAACATAGCGCAATGATATTTACAAATATAGTACAGTAAACGAGATGCGTAGATAATACTGAACACAACAAGTTTGGGTTTATGAAGGTTGGGGGTATGTTTTGAAAGTGAAAACTGAGAACATAATTTCAAATATATCCCCCAAAGTATTCATGATACCTAACTTTTTTACTTCTGAATACAATATGTTATAACACATTACCCCGGTGGTCATGCAATGGTCTTTGTTTCAAAATTGATCCATGAAATATTCCTGGATACATTCTTACAACAGGATTGCCATCCACATTCGGGTTAATACAAGCGTGGTCCTCCGTCTTTCAAGTTAACAAGAGTATTGTCCTCCAGATCTAGGAAAACACAAACGTGGTCCTTCGTCTTTCAAGCTAACAAGAGTATTGTCCTCCAGATGTAGGATAACAAAAGCGTGGTCCTCCGTCTTTCAAGTTAACAAGAGTATTGTCCTCCAGATCTAGGATAACACAAACGTGGTCCTTCGTCTTTCAAGCTAACAAGAATATTGCCCTCTTTCTCTGGGATAATACTGTGGTCCTCCATCTTTCAAGATAAAACGTGTTTAGCTCTCTATGTTTGGAATCGTCTTTGGTCGGTGCAAAGAATAGCTACGTCCGATATATCCGATTATACAATACTCGTCTATGCAAAGCTCACAAAAGCAACATTTCAACAAATCACATATCAAAACATCAAGGGAAAAACTGTATTAAACGACTCTTCCTTTTTCCCCTTTACCTGTCGTGGCAGTCACCCCTCTACTAACAACTGACTAAGTAACCATTTACTACTCCGGGTGGAAGTGTCTGGGTTCGTATTTAGAGACAGAATATTTTTTCGGCCATTGTATATATTTTTGCCTGAAATTAGGAGATGAAATTCCCTTCTTTATTCGTTTCACAACATATTTTTACAGGACATCGTACAAAATTTTGAATCTCCAAATACGAGGGAAAATGAGTTTGTCGACACGATCACGATATACAATTTCAAGCCCTCTCTATTGAGGGGTTTGCTCTCAATACTGTTGTTGGAGGAAGAACAGATTATGTGCGTGCGTGTGTATTGGACCTCGTGTTTGTGTCTTTGTCTGTAGATTAAGGAGTGCGCATCAGAACATGTGTGTTCGTGGCGGTCCGACATCTGAGCTGATGTTGGGGTGGTATGACTTTAAGAGTACAGTTTATAACTCGGAATTATCACCAGAATCATACCAATTGATATTGTCATCGAGATGAGATAAATAAGAAACAGAAACTTATCAACAACCTCAGCCACAAAAAACCATTGCCTCTTAATCTGAATCGAATGGTACTGAACGCTTGTGACACTAAATCGACCATCCGGCTTCCGGGTACGCCCAACTTCACCTATTGCGCCTCTGTTCATTGCCTCGATGTGGCCATCGGTACAGATCTTCCGGTCACTGCGGGATCTCGGGAACAATAGTTCGTTTGTTGGCCTGCTGGGAAGCAACTCTGTCGTACAGGTAGCCTCGTCCGGTGACTGATCAGTTTCATCTGCTGGCTGAAGGATGTTTTCGGAAGGTTGGCCTCCATTTAAAGTGACTTCAATCTTACTTGAAGGGTCAGGCTGGAATTCGAACTGATCGCAAGAGGCAGGCTGTTCCCAAGCATACTTGGTGAGAACTATTTTGCTAAGGACGACGCGACACAGCCAAAACAGCCATTTTGGAATGGCGGGGGACTGTTTATCCTCCCCTCGCTTCTTGATGTTCATCACTAGTGTGGCCATGATGAGGGACACGCAGTTGAAGGTCATGACCATGAACAGGAAGATACCTGGAGAAAATGAATAACACGTGTATTAGACAGGGTTGGGAGGTTAATATATGCACGCGAAATACAAAACAAAGCGTGAAGATCCGGGTAAGATTTATTTTCATAAACCCATGTCTAACCTAGCATTGGAATGTCTCGTCTTGATTCGATTGTTTGCAGGCCGCCAACATATATCTGGAATATTGCTGAGGGCAGCGAAAGCAACAACCAAGCTAGCAAATGAAATCCTGACAACAACAACAACAACAGGTAATTGTAGCCCTATGACTACTGGTCTCTGCATCCATCCACCTTGTGACAAATGAAAAACAGAAACATAGAAATAATCAACAACCGCTCTACCCCGTTCGGAATTATTGTCCTCCTGAGAGGGTACGTAAGTCCCAAAACATTTCAAGTAAATTTAAGTCTACCAGGTTTTTAATCGTAGTATTTTTGTCATTTTTATGTATGGCTAAATCTCAGTATAAAAGCCAATGGCTGAAGGGATGGTGTAAATCCAGCTAGGGTCCATGCAGGTAGCAAAGGTACTGTAAGTCCCCATGGTCCCTAGTATGGTGATCGACCTTCAGTTGTTGGCGATCTATAGCCTGTTTTTATCTTGTATTGTCCTAATAGTGCTATTAGTTTTAACCTTCCACACTAGTTTTAAATCTAATTGTGATATTCTAGTTGTTTTACTGTCCTTCGATGACAGGTTTTATAATATACACATATTCCATTTCAATGTAAAATGTTCTCGTGACGATATGGCTGAAATATTGGCGATGTGACGTTAAATATTAACTCACTCACTCACTCTACCCCGTTCGGGACAAGTGGTTCGGACCATGACATTATATTACCTTGACAGCATGTATTTTCGGCATAGACCAAGGATGATTATTCACCATCACCACCACCACCACAAAACAAAAATACAGAGAGACGCGCACACTTACACAGAGACCATAGTGGCAAATGCACAAGCACCTATGCGCGTCGCCATGGAAGTGCAAGAATAGTGGACTCGACATTTAAACTGATATTGTCCAACCTTACATCTTATCTGTCTAGACTAGCTGACCACCGTGTTCATTAAAGTCGACAGTTACAAACAGAGCAGACTGCAGAGTCTGCCCGGGAATCCCCAAAGGGAGAGAACTCAGTTCTTGTTCATATCTCACCTAGCACTGGCGTGGAGTTGGTGTCAGGAACGTTCTCAGCAATCAGCAACTGCAGCACGTACAAAGTGAGAAATACTGTCAACCCAATATTGATCTTCTCTCCCTTGTGACACGGAAGTAGAAAACTGACCAATGTCAGGATGCAAAGCATTATGGTCGGCGCAATTACAATATAATCGTAATACAGGGACTTTCGCTTGACACTGATGTGACAGTCAACCATGGCGTGTGAGCCATCTCCAGGACAACAGTTACTGTCCACAAGGCTCCGGCTCACACTAACAGCTGTCAGGTCATATTCGCTGTTCTGGACGTAATGACTCAGGTCTGGTCTGTCTGCGTTGAGACGCATGTCAACTTGGGTAACATCATAGATCCACGAACCGAACCGGAGGTGACATTTCTGATCGTCGTAGGGGAAGTAGGTGACATCGACTACGCAGGAACTCTTGACCATAATAGGCACCATCCACTTGACCAAACCATCGTTTCCAATCTTCACCTTGCTGCCGGTCACGTTCACAAAGCCATCAGCGTTGTCACCAGCCCTGGAAGTAGGCCAACACTGCATATAAACTGGTCAAGAGATGCCAGCCTCACGACTGACTGAATAATGCTTACACTGCAGTTAACACTGACTTAACATAGAAAAGCTTCCCTCTCATTAGTGAAGGGCATCAAGAGAGACCGTGAGAAATACCGTAAGGTGTATACTTATCAAACATTATACAAGCCAAATCTCGCCACATCACAATCCAAGGTTTATTGGGGCTCAAGGGTACTGGTGGGTTCTTTTTATTTGAGGTCCACATGTTTTCCGAAACATCAAGTAATAAGCTTTGTAAGCGCTTGTAACGGCCATTTTTCATAAATGGGGCATCAGGTGACTTTCAGATAAAAGGGGATAATGCTGAAAGAAAGGGGGAAAAGGATTCAAACACTAATGGGCTTAATAACATTTCAATTATATAAAATGAACTTGTATTTAGAAATCGCAAATGACATAATAGGAGGTAAATTTAATATTGCCTTGAAAGAAGCTAGAACTATGGGACTTGGTGGTTTACGATTCTAATTGTAAATTTGAGAATCGGAATGATGATCAAGATCACCGGATCACCGTGCATCATGCAGAAGGTTAAAGTAAACTTACTTGTTGAAGAGAAACATGTCAGGCACCCACACGTTGGTAGAGGGAATCATTAGTGTGTCTAGTCCATCGTAGTCCTCGGGGTCCCATCTCAGGTTCTCGTCAGTCCATTCCTGGATATAAAGATTGGCGTCCATAACAATTTGTCCATCAATACATTTTTAATATTATCAGATGGTCGGGAATAAAATAAGTCAATTACCTGATTGTAACTATTGATATAGAGACAACCAAAGTTATTTGTTCACGGAGGGGAGGGAAGCAGCTGATATTCTTTTCAGCCTTACATTTTCACTCAAAGTCCCCCTTTTTCACAATGTGTGTTAATAGCTTATATTTTTTAATACATGAATGTATTCCCTGTCTTTGGTGTATTTTTACACAAATGAACTGATATATTTTTAATAATTCTACAAAAATGCTGTTTCGGGTAACTTCAGTAAATGTAGATATGAAGAGAAGTGAAGGTACACAAGTACAGAAACATACATTTGGCAATTATCTAGTGCTTGTTGAGGATTTCAAATTATTCATTCGCACCTGTACCCAGTCAGCTACAGGTAGAGAAATATGTGGTGATTTAGTGTCGGGTCGTCAGCATGGTTCTTCATTGTGAATTAATCGTTTACACATAATAAGTCGTTGTTGTGAAGCCGGTTAGGATTCAACAAATGAAGCGCGCATAAAATGTATCCAAGTACTTACCTCGTGAACCCAAACGGCCGTGGTCAGAACTTGGTTCTTCTCATCCTGTCAATGGCAGGAGAACATGAGCACAAATACAGAAAGGTAATTATGTTTGGACAGTATTCATGATTCACGGAATCAAGGGACAATTTGACACATTTATCTCAGCGATTTTGTCAGTACAAATTTACAAATTTGGCCTTGGTCAAAGGCTGCCTTTAACTTGGTTTTTCAATAATTTATAAATACACGTTCTTTTTGTACCCCAAATGCATCTGTTCCGGATAATGTCTAGCTTGGTATATGAAGTGTAGTTAGTCATGACTGTGGAACAACTGCAGCCTATATTCACAGAAAGAGAGGCCCCTATAGACAACCGTCCTCCCTCCAAAATATTTACTACGTCGCCAATGTTATGGAAAATACAAATGTCATAAAAACTGGGCGACAGGACCGCTTGTTCTTAAAAAATATTACCTTTCGCATTCAGAGAATTTCGTATTGCGGATTAAGCAAGTGCACTATGACCACAGTGATATTGTACCTAGAAAAGACTGTACGTGTAATGCAGCAGGCATGTTTCATCGCAGCTTCCAAAACACAAAGCCCACTCATACCCTACTGTCAGGAATACGCAATATGGTAAGAGATGTGCTTTCTACTTTCCACTGTCGCCTCCAACTTACCAGATCAAGGAGCTGATTGAGAGCGATGCCGAAGCTGACGATGACTGGTTTACTGGCGTTCTCCACGGGCCTGGATTCAGGGTTGTACGACTGGAACAGATCGCCATACAGACGCTGTTCTGTCCCTACACGCCGGCCTATAATATACAGATAAACATACTCACTGTATAAATTAAAGAACTGAACACATTGTACAGGATTCGAACCCAGATTTTCGCTGTGGGGAGCAAAAGCTTTAAGCACAGTGCTACTCAGTCGAGCCCTACAGACTTTTGACATTGACTGAAGCTACAAGAGTATATAAGAATTACTATGTTTACTTACTTCAATACAAGGCAGACTTGTGAACAAGTGATCTAAGGCGCTACTAGTTGGTGTGCGGAGATGTGTCTATTACATAAGAATGATCTTTTTTCGGAGGTTCGAATCCTGTTCACCCTGGTTATGATCCTTGGTTTGTTAGTACCGTGTCCTTGTATAACGTTTTCACCAACTTGAAGGATGGTCACGCTGGTTGATTGCGTGCCAGTGTACTCAGACGGCATGGATTGCTGCTGATAATGTACAAGACTGGTTTGTCTGGTCCAGAGTCGATTGTATACAGACAGCGGTCGTATAGATTGACTATTGCCTCCTTAGGCGTTTAACAGCAAACCAAACACCCATGCAGTTTTCTGTATAGCACTAATTGATCTATTTGACACATTATTGTGCGTTGTATATCTTGAAGATAATTTCACAAGTATTAAGACTGAATTTATTCATAATGAGGACGTCGACGTTGACGCCAACAGTGTTGTTTCCAACGTCAACCTGTATCGTCAGCGAGCAGCTTCCTGAGCCGTGACAAATAGCTAGTGTGGCGATCCTGTCTGAGTAGTAGTATGTATAATTCCAAAAACTACGTATGTGTACAATATCGAAGTGCGTGAGTGAGTAGTATCCTTCAAAAAGTCGATACCGGGATTTCCTCCTCGTAGAAAGCACTGGTCATTATTTTCATTCTATTTTGTACGGCTACGTATACTTGTCATTTATCCATGCAACCGTGGTATTTTTGGTACGTTGTTCCGTCCATTCAAAACTGTTAACGCCTAACATACTTGACACATGCACCAGCATATACCGGGAGTAATAGCACAAAGACTTTCTCCTGAGTGGGGCGAATGTTTTATCTAAAATCAAAACTTTGCCAACGCCAGTCTTGGCTAGCAGGACATCCAATAATTATACCTTAATGTATTACATGTACATACGACGAACTATTGTATCTGTTTTTACATCTGAATCATCTTTTCCACAGTTCCCCTCGTAATGAAACCCACTGATGAGCACGGTTCCTTTAGGAAACAGATATCCGTCTTTCCGACGCCATTCCGCCTAATTGGCTCTGACCGTCTATACATACACAGCACTGCTGATGCGGGGGAGGGCCTGTCAGTTTAGGAAACTCACATCACCATGGCAGCTGAGAAAGATGTGCGGGAGATTAAAGGCGGGTTAACAAAGTGTAAATAATGGATGTCAGGTTTTACCAAGTTTTACGAATCCTTGGATCCACAAGAGAGTAGTGCAGCTTTTGAACATATACCGAACTTCTACAATTATTATACACGTATTATATCGTAGTTGTGACGTGTGTAGTTTTTAAAGAGATATAGTGACACAATATTGATAGGAGATGAAGACAGTTATTCGCTGGGCATCAGAAGTACATGTAGCACAATGCTTGAATGTATCATTGGTGCGATAGTGAGGTTTGGCGATAGTGAGGTTTTCCTTGTAAATAAGAATCTATGTTATTTTACCTGCCTCCACACACACGGCCCTGAAATAGTTCAATACTATCATTCGTCAAGTGTAGAAATGTTAATCAAGACCTGTGAACGAAACGACTACACATACAGCACATACAGACATGCAGGCACATAGGAATACACGTCGCTAAATACAATACCGTCGCTTCCGTGAATTATTAGCGCCAAAGCCAGGAGCACAACTGTACACTTCATCTTCGAAAGCCCGGTGCTCAGCATCTTATCTGTAAACAGACGGCCGCCATTTTGTTACACGACCTTGACCTTGTGCCAGTGCCCCAAGTCTGTAGCATATCGATAAGTTATGAGCGGCCGAGGCAGGATCTTCCATACAGCGGGGATTCATCCGGATTATTGATTCAGCAGCTGGCTGTGATTTAAAGCTGTGGGCTATGTCGGAGCGAAGCCCAAAACTTTTACTATACTCGAAAAGCTGTTAATGTGATACGCAAAGATAAAAATATTGATATTGCGCAATACAGAATGCTGATAGATTGTTGCAAGGAATGGAGCTTATAGATCTCGTCCTCGTGACATATTGAGTGATTGATTAAGTTTAGTTTTACGCCGCACTGAGCAATATTCCAGCTATATTGCGGCGATCTGAAAATAATCGAGTCTGGACCAGAAAATCCAGTGGTCAACAGCATGAGCATCGATCGGCGCAATTGGGAACCGATGACACGTGTCCACCAAACAAGCGAGCCTGACCACCCGACCCCGTTAGTAGCCTCGTACGACAAGCATGGGTTACTGAAGGTACATTCTAACCCGGACCTTCACGGGGAGACAAGCATGGGTTACTGAAGGTACATTCTAACCCGGACCTTCACGGGGAGACAAGCATGGGTTACTGAAGGTACATTCTAACCCGGACCTTCACGGGGAGACAAGCATGGGTTACTGAAGGTACATTCTAACCGGGACCTTCACGGGGAGACAAGCATGGGTTACTGAAGGTACATTCTAACCCGGGCCTTCACGGGTAGACAAGCATGGGTTACTGAAGGTACATTCTAACCCGAACCTTCACGGGGAGACAAGCATGGGTTACTGAAGGTACGTTCTAACCCGAACCTTCACGGGGAGACAAGCATGGGTTACTGAAGGTACATTCTAACCCGAACCTTCACGGGGAGACAAGCATGGGTTACTGAAGGTACATTCTAACCCGAACCTTCACGGGGAGACAAGCATGGGTTACTGAAGGTACATTCTAACCCGGACCTTCACGGGGAGACAAGCATGGGTTACTGAAGGTACATTCTAACCCGGACCTTCACGGGGAGACAAGCATGGGTTACTGAAGGTACATTCTAACCCGGACCTTCACGGGGAGACAAGCATGGGTTACTGAAGGTACATTCTAACCGGGACCTTCACGGGGAGACAAGCATGGGTTACTGAAGGTACATTCTAACCCGGACCTTCACGGGGAGACAAGCATGGGTTACTGAAGGTACATTCTAACCCGGACCTTCACGGGGAGACAAGCATGGGTTACTGAAGGTACATTCTAACCGGGACCTTCACGGGGAGACAAGCATGGGTTACTGAAGGTACATTCTAACCCGAACCTTCACGGGGAGACAAGCATGGGTTACTGAAGGTACATTCTAACCCGGACCTTCACGGGGAGACAAGCATGGGTTACTGAAGGTACATTCTAACCGGGACCTTCACGGGGAGACAAGCATGGGTTACTGAAGGTACATTCTAACCCGGACCTTCACGGGGAGACAAGCATGGGTTACTGAAGGTACATTCTAACCCGAACCTTCACGGGTAGACAAGCATGGGTTACTGAAGGTACATTCTAACCGGGACCTTCACGGGTAGACAAGCATGGGTTACTGAAGGTACATTCTAACCCGAACCTTCACGGGGAGACAAGCATGGGTTACTGAAGGTACATTCTAACCCGGACCTTCACGGGGAGACAAGCATGGGTTACTGAAGGTACATTCTAACCGGGACCTTCACGGGGAGACAAGCATGGGTTACTGAAGGTACATTCTAACCGGACCTTCACGGGGAGACAAGCATGGGTTACTGAAGGTACATTCTAACCCGAACCTTCACGGAGAGACAAGCATGGGTTACTGAAGGTACATTCTAACCGGGACCTTCACGGGTAGACAAGCATGGGTTACTGAAGGTACATTCTAACCCGGACCTTCACGGGTAGACAAGCATGGGTTACTGAAGGTACATTCTAACCCGAACCTTCACGGGTAGACAAGCATGGGTTACTGACGGTACATTCTAACCCGGACCTTCACGGGTTCCTCATCATACACACTTTCGAACAAAGAAGTTGATGTTTAACTATATTCCCTTTGTCCAGTTTACTTGCATTTGACATTTGTATCAAACCAATTGACCATGTGTCCATTTGATCTTATATCTTACTTCTAATAATTATTACGGTAATACTTTACTTTCTTCTGTAGGAAGATTTATGTAGGAGATGTACTGTATGTCGCTTTTCTGTTATTTTAATGAAAATATTATTTTTTATAGCAGCATTTTCTTTAAATTTCGTTTTCATGATGATGATGATGATGATGATGATGGGCCTGCCATGCCATGAATATTTAATTAGGAAATTTACCCGAAGTGGTAGGGGGAGCTGAACGGCGGGGTGTTCTGGTTGGTATTTGTTTTGTTTTTATGTTTTCGTGTTTCTTCTTTGAGGTGAGGTGAGGTGAAATTGAGTTTAACGTCGCGCTGGAGAATATTTCGCTCATATTACGACATGCATGCGTGTGTATGTGTATGTGCGGCTGCTTATACTAGCCCAGACCAACAAGTACCATATTTTAACGTCTTTTGGTATGACGCGGTCCGGGATCGAACCCGCGACCTTCCGCTCTCCGGGCGGACGCTCTAACCACTATACCACGGAGGCGGTCCTATTTCTTCTTTGAAAGGCATTTTAGAAGTTCAGTTGATGAAGAATGATGACACTGTTTATGGATATATAACTTCTTTTATTCTGTGAAGGGCGACGTTTCGACAGATTCTAATGCCGTTGTCAAGCAAGTGATGCATGAGAAACAAATTGAGAGAATATATACATGATTTGTTATTACAATAGATTGGGGATGTGTTGTTTATACAGTAAATGAAGTAGATGTACAACTATTGTATATGAGATTGAATAAGTTGATTTGAGTTTTAGTTTTTGTTTAGTTTTTTTTTAAGGCTATGTGGTTAGGTAGTTTTTGATTTTAGGTAGGTACTAGTTGGTTACGTGGGATTACATACAACCTAGATTGCCTCTTTTGATTAGAAATATACCTAAGGCTTTGAAAGTGAGTGTTATTTCGTGGGCGTCTGGAGTGCTTGTAGTGTTAGGAGTATGTTCGTGTCCAGTGAACTCTGGAGCACCATTCTGTGTTGTTGGTAGAGTATGCAGTGTAGAAGTATATGCTTACTTTTTCACCTACCGGTCATTCTTCAGGTATTATATATACATAAAGGTAAATCGTTATACATGAATTAGCTTTAACCTTCACGTAAAACACTGACGAATGACATGCATAAAATCGAACACTGCGAAAGAACAAGGAAAGTCAGTGAAAACAATGGTCGGGAAAATACTCGAAGCGCACATACAATATTTGTGAGAGCGTTGCAATATTGTAAAACGGTCACACAGACACGCACTACGCGAGTTACTGCACATGAAAAGCGAGACTTGTCATCACACGAAGACCAGATATCAGGGACCATATATGGTCTCTGCAAATATTAATGTTCGATGACATTTGGCATTGTTTTTATCACGGACAGATGTTCTTGTTAAGTGTTAGTTACACATTCGACATCGGTATTGAATATGTAATCTGTTTGCACTCGCAAAAACGTGACGAAGTATGCGTGCACTGTTTGAGCCTTTTGTAATTGATTACATACGCTAATGAAATATGTTCAGTGCACAGAACAAGTGCAGGACACCAACGCGTTGACAAGAACAATCATGATAGTACGTAGTGTTCAATTGTATTTCACATACGTCTTTTTTATTGCAAACAAAAGTGACGAGTGAAATTATACATTTTCCCCTCCGATACACACATTGAACATACTGAACGTGGCTGTTCTTTCATACAATGTTATTTGTCTAGTGTAAATATCAGTCTGCTTCTCTGGTGTGTTTGTTTGTTTGTTTGCTGTTTAATGTCGCACTCTGCGGTCTGTAAATAATCGAGCGTGGACCAGACAATCCAGTGATCAACAGCAGGAGCACCGATCTACGCAGCTGGGCTGCTTCATATCTTGCTGAAAGTCACGTAACAGTTTGGAAAACATGACTTTATGGTAACTATCAACCGAATGAAATTAGAGCGACATCATATCCACGTTACCTTGTGACCAACACTTTGTCGACGTTGTCAAGTGACGAATCTAGTCTTTTCACGCCGTTCGCCTCCCCTGAAAATCAACAGGCTGTATATCCGTCTTTCTGTGAGTGAGCGTTGTTTTATGCCGCTATCAACAATATTCCAGCTGCGTCTGGACGATATAGAACGGGACAGAACAATCTATGACATTGAGGCAAGATGACAAACTGTTTCAAGTCACCGACGTCGGCCAAACAATTGTATACTCTTGAGCGGGTTAGGCTGCTAACTTTAGAAAGTGTAATCCCAAATATAACACATGTTACATTTGACCACTTTCTAAATGGCATTGTGTAATCATAGCTACATGTAATGTATTTTAGCCGTTTGTAATGCACTTCACTGTGCCACCGGATACGCTCACCTTTTCACGATCTCGTGTTCACGTCAATATTTGGCAGTGATTCATAGGCATATTTTCACGATACATTTGTACATGAAATCGTAAATCTCTTCTTTTGGCGGATATTACTAATGATTATTAACCAGAATTGGCTATTTCATTTAATTACCACTGGTGTGAATAACGATTTATACAAAGTTGTTATGACAACCCTAAATCTCTATTTTATGAAGGTATCACAGAAGATATGATGTTTGTCCATTCCTAAATAAACATGTCAATTCCAGATGGTTTCTTTACATGTTGACATTTTGTTGCTTTTGAACGCAATGGTGTAATCACGTCTGTTCTCACCTCACAGTAGGGCTGCACGGTATTACCGGTATACCGGTAAACAGCAATACGATATTGTAACAATTAGGTATCGCGATTCGTTTATGATGTACCGGTATACCGACAAAGATTTATTTGTTCAACTCTAATCCGCTGATCGGTCTAGGCGTCTGTGTGCTGGCGATTAGGTGTCTGACGCTGATGGTGTGGGTTCGAATCCCGGATGGGACTCAACCCAAAAAGTACTAGAATCTGTACTTCACTAAGAAAGTGTAATCCCAAATATAACATATG